CGTTAACTGGCAGCTGCTTGATTGTCTGGCGAATAGGGGATTAAATAGGATGAAGTTTTTAGTATGTTTATTAGTTGATGAATTCGTTAACTGGTAGCTGCTCGATTGTCTGGCAAGTAGGGGATTAAATAGGCTGAAGTTTTTAGTGTGCCTATTAAGTTCATTGTTGATGAATTCGTTAACTGGCAGCTGCTTGATTGTCTGGCGAATAGGGGATTAAATAGGATGAAGTTTTTAGTATGTTTATTAGTTGATGAATTCGTTAACTGGTAGCTGCTCGATTGTCTGGCAAGTAGGGGATTACTAGACTAATACACAAGTTAATCACCAATTTAATAAATTAATTGGCCGATTTATCAGTTTATCAGCTACTCGGTGACACAACGAGTAGGAATTAATCGACAAGTTAACTAGTTGAGGGCCATTGTATGCTGGACAATCTAAAAAACTAGAAATAGCGCTTGTTTTGATCGAAAATTTCTTAATGATCCATCTTCTGTGGTTTTCAAATTGTGCTAGATTTTGAAATCTTGGAGCATGTTGCAGAAAAGCCAAGACAGAAACCTTTTCCATTATTCATGGATGGAATCGTCTTGCTAGAAAGATTTGCAGCTGATACTAGGTTATCCTTGACTGGATTGTTTTTTTTTTTGATGGTTCTCGGGGCATCATTCCTTAAGCTCCCGGGAGATCTGTGTTACTTTAAATAACAACTTTCTGGTGTGCTTGCTGGTTGACTCTGCCTGCGTGCAGTAGTGATCTAGCGTGTCTATTTTTTTTTCTCGTTCTCTAGCACGTTTACGTTTAGCTGTTTGGCATGTGCGCCTTTCCTTTGCTTTGTTATGATACTTTATTTATAGAACTTGTGGGGGTTTTCTCTAATGAAAATCGACGAGAAAGCTCGTTGTTTTCTTCAAAAAGAAAGTACCAACATTTCGCCATTTCGGTAAGTTTCGATTCACTTACTATGTAAAGTAAATCGACCAATATAGCACCAACAAATTCCTATATGTATTCTTCACCAAATTCAGTGGCCATAAAATGCCCCGAATCATCATTATATACTCAAAAAGGAAAATGTGAACTCCTTTGCAGCTAGCGGATGTACAAACGGTCTGTGTCGTCATCCCTCACGGGCATGTAACCCTAAGCTAGTGCCGCCGGAGATGGTCGAGCGCGAGCGCGAGCGTCGGCGCGAACCTTTCGACGTCGACGCGCACGTTCTGCTTGCCGAGGTAGTACTCGGCGACCTTGTCCCAGCCGCTCCGGTGGACCGAATCGGGGTCCTTGATGGCGGGGTGGTCCGGCCCCAGCGTGTCCAGCAGCGTGCTCTCCTCCACCGAGATGCTGTACTCGAGGTACCGGAGCCCCATGTTGGCCGCGGGGTCGCCGAACTCCCTCTGCGCCATCGGCTCCAGCTTGCCGTAGGGCACCACCTGGATGACCACCGCCCCCGGCGGCAGGAACGCCGAGTTGGTGAGGCCGGCGCCGTGCACGCCGAGCAGCACGTCGAACGAGTTCACGGAGAGGGCCAGCTCCTTGACGCGCACGTTGAACCGCGGGTCCGCTATGGTCACCTCGAACCCGGCCTTCTCGGCCGCCTTGACGATCTCCGGCACGTTGACGAGCTTCCGGTAGTGGCCCCGGTCGAGCAGCATCAGCCGCGGCTTCTTGTTTTTGTTGTCGTCCACCGGCGGGCTGCTCTTGTTATTAGTCAGGCTGATGGGAGCGGCGCGCGGCAGGGAGTAGGTCTCGCGGAGGAAGGCGGTGAAGTTGAGCATGGAGAGCGGGACGCCGCCGGGGACCAGCTCCGGCACGATGTTGAACTCCTTGTGCATGTTGAGGCCGACGGTGACGTGCCGGAAGCACCGGATCTGGTCGTCGTGGTCGAGGTCCAGGACCTCGTACTTTGTCAGCCGCCGCACGACGGCCTCGTACTTGCCGAGCCACCAGGGCTGGATGTTGCCGGCCAGGAACTGGACCTCGCCGCCGTACCGCCGCGACGCCACGAACAGCGGCACCAGCGCGTCGCTGAAGTCGTGGAAGTAGTTGCCCAGGTGGCCGCCGAGCGCGAGCACGATGGCCGGGACGCGGTGCGTGACCGTGCACGCGGGCGCCGGGGACGCCGCGGACGTCGAGTCGAGCTGCGTCACCGTGACGTTGGGGATGCCGGTCATGTTGAAGCGGGCGTAGGCCTGGATGCTCCACTCCCGGCGCTCTGTCCGGGACGTGACCGGCACCAGGGTGACGGTGTGGGCCGTGCCGTTGGTCCGGACATCGCCGAAGACATCGCAGGTGTAGGAGAAGGGGCTCGCACTGCACACCACCTTGCCGTTGTCTGCTCAAAAAAAAAAAAGGGACAGTGATTTGTCAGCTTCATTGATCATTGAGCATTTTATTGATCAAGTGGAATTAATTGATATGTGCCATGCAACTGAATGAAGTCTTAAACTGCATTTTAATTCCTTCATATAATTCATTTGCGCGTGCATATATTTAAAATTTTCTTATATCTTGGTTGATGATGTTAACCGCCCTGTCTAATTTTGATTCCATGTTGTGCGCGTATCTTAACATGAAAGACATTAGAAACTCAATACATCGACTTAGCTATACAAAACTCTTTAGACATATATTCCAAAGTTTGTGCTCGGCCCCTTTTATTTGATACCAAAACTATTATGTCAGTGGCCCCTATGCAGTAACAACGTTCCTTGCAATTGCTTGTTAGAAAGGAAAACAACGAAATTCATTGGTTAAGCTAGCACTGTTAGCTCCGCCAAGGGACGGAGCTGCCTGGACTGGATGAGCTGACCCCAATGACTTCTGGAGATCCTTCACTAAATCTTACTTACCTCTGTTTCTAAATGTAAGACGTTTAGGCAGTTCAAATTAAACTGCCAAAACATCTTACGTTTAGGTAGGAACATTGGGTGCACTAGATTAGCATCAAGTGTTGTTTCTTTGTGAAAGTTGAACCTAGTGTAATGGAGATAACGCCATCAAATTTGTTTTCTAGCTCCACCCTACTTAATATAGTCAAACCGTGAACTATTTTTTATGTCAAGAAGTCCCTAAATAGTAAGATTTTGTTTGGTAGTGTTAGGTCCAATACAAGAAACTTCTTCAGCACAAAAATCCATATGGTCCCTAAAGTGGTCTAGACTTGTTATTTGTCCCGTTGAAAAGTATTTTGACAATGATGTGTGAGTTCATTGCTTAAGCTAGCCCAGCCTAGGCGTAAACCCGCTGCTAGCTCCACCCGTACTCAAAATAGTCAAACCGTGGACTTAATTTTATGCCGAGAAGTCCCTAAATTGGTAAGATTTGGTTGGTATTGTTAGGTCCAATTCAAGAAACATCTTCATCACAAAAATCAATATGGTCCCTAAAGCGGTCTGGACATGGCCATTTGTCCCGTTGAAAAGTATTTTGACAATGATGTGGGACGGCTCCATGCAAAAATAGGAACAAAAACATGAAACATGAAAAACGGGAAATAGGAACAAAAAATGCAAAAGAAGGAAAAACATTGACATGTGAAAGTTTCATGCATTTCTTGAAACTCAACTAATTTGTAGAAAGGGGTAATTGTACTCCTACTGTTTTTTTTTGTTTGAAGAAAGGAACTTGCGGGATGGCATGGAGGCCCACCATCAAAATGGGGAGGGTGGGGTGGTTTGGAAATCAGGGGGTGTTATTGGGGATAAAGACATATACATTCACACATGAGAAAAATGTTCACACATGAAAACAACTATCAAAACTGTTCCGTAAGTCCAGCATTATTATTGTAGAAAACAGGGGCCGTCGAAAAATGTGCTACTATCTTTTTTGGATGAATAGAAAACATTCGCACATGAAAACAACTGTCCTCCGTTTTTCTTGTTTATTGTAAAAAAACGATGCAGGAATGAACTAAATTCAGACGGTTTCGGCACTTGAGGGACCACTTTTTTGGGGGGTAAATAGCCTAGTTTCATTCATAAAACTTGATCCAAATACTAGTACTACTACTACACCAGATACGTACAGTACGTACGTCCCAAAGATAATCGGATCGAATCGGCACATTTATAGCATTATTAGTGAGCAGGCAGTAGGTACATAGAGTACGTCCGAAAGCTACTTACACGAATCGAATCAAACCATTACCCTTGTACTGTATATATTTTCTAAAAGTAGCAGGAATAAAATGCGTCATCTCATCACATTAATTCACATTAATTCTGCTATACTAGGAGTAGTTTAGTTAGGGGGAGGAGGAATATTGGACATACCGAACGGCTTGGCCGCACCGTCGTCGTCTCTCTTCCCCACACCGCGCGCGCGGCCCTCTGCTTTCGGCGGCCCTGCTTTTGGTAAAAACACAGCGCCCTTTCGCTCACTCATTCCGTCCATACCATGCCACCGACAGAAAGAGAGATGTATTTATATTTACACCGCAGAAAAGAAGATGTTTATACTTACCCGGTTGCTGCTCGTGCTGCTGCTCTTGAGCTGATTTGGCCTCCGCCTTCCCCTCTCCTCCTCGATCCCCTTGCGTTAATCCTACTCCTAGTCAATTTAGTCATGATTCGATGAGTCAGAGTCAGAGAGGCACGCCTCACTGCTTCCAAATAACAGGTTGACTTAATTGTGTTCTTTTTCTTTCTTTTCACCACGCCGGCGCCGGGCCCGGGCGGACGGCGGGGTAGTGCGGCATCAATGTCGATGAAACGAACGAAGTCGAAGAGTAGTTGAAATTGGACAGAGAATTGCAGGGCAGGGGATGGCGATGGGTGCTCACCTGCTTCGCCGGCGCCGGGGGACTTGACTGCCTGATGCTTCCTGTGCGTCGTCGTCGTGGGGACAGCTGCAGATCAACAGTGACTGAATGAGCGGTGCGCGGCGGCGAGTGAGGGAGGGAGGGAGGAGAGTGTAGATTTGTTGGGTGATGGATTCAACCGCGTACTAGTACGTACCGACGGGGGAGGTGACGGCGAACTGCTGGGAGACGACGAGGTAGGTGAGGAGCACGAGGAGGAAGCCGGCGACGAAGCACAGGTTGAGGTGCCTCTGCGCCCAGCTCCCCAGCATCAGCCCCTTCCCCCCCGCCGCCGGCGCCCCCTGCTTCGCGTCGACGCTGACCATCTCCGCCTCCTCCTCCTCTGCCTGCCGGCCGCGGCCGGGTTGAGGGATCCTTCCTTCCTTCCGGCGGTGCGCCGCACGAGTTTATTGAGTGGCCGACTGGCGTGGCTGGTTCACATGGGAGAAAGCCGGGCAGATAGCTGGGGACGGGATAGAAGGCTACAAGCGAGGTGGTGCTGCATGCAGATGCAGAGTGGGACTTCTCTGGCTTGGCTTGGGGTTCCAAAGCTTCCGTGTCCACTCGTTCTCTCGTCGGTGGTCATTTTGTACCCGTCCGGGCGGCGCCTTTTGCACGTACGCCCCTGGTAGTAAGCTACAGTGCACAGAGCACCCAACCCAACCCAGCGGTTTGATGCAGAGCAGCAATTAACTCGAGACGTGAGCGGTGAGCCCCCAACCCAACCCAACCCTCGCTGGCCACGCGTGTTCCTCCCGTCCCGTGCATCTCCAATCATTCATCTCATCCCCAACCATCCCGACCGTGACCGCCCCACATACATGAGATCACGAGAAAAAAAAATACTCCCTCCGTCCCATAATAAAATAAAAACGTTTTTTACACTACACTAATGTCAAAAACGCTCTTATATTATGGGACGGAGAAAGTACAAACTACTACTACTGCGAAACATCTTTTTTCTTTCTTTTATTACAAAATGTGGTAGGTATTACCAGTGCAATTTATGTAGTAGGAAAAAATGCAGTGACTGCGTGCATGAGTTAGAAATGGTGGCACGCGTCATGGGTCAGCGAGAGATTTCACCCACTGGCAAGGTGGCATGTGCAAAACACATGTGTTCCACTTCTTTTGCCTGCCGGTTACAGCGTGCGTGGGCCCGGATGGACACTGCCCAGCTCCTGCGTTCCTTTTTAGAATAACAAAGGGGCTGTTGATCTGTCATTCGACGGAAAGATAGAAAACGAACACGTTTTAAGCTGAAAGGGAAGGGGATCCAGCAAAACTAGCAAGGCATAGTCGGCAGCTCTCGCATCAGACAAAACACTTGGCTTAGCTTAGTCTAATCAGGCTTGCAAAGCTGCTGCGTAGGGTATGCGTATCTTTATCTTAAAAGTGTTTTATTAACTTCTAATGTAGCGTAAAAAGATACAAGGCATAGTAAGTGTACACACCGACATCGCACGACTAAGATGCATACACTAAACATCAACTCACACACACACACGACAATAATGAAAATGCCGGCAACATGTAACGCCCCGATCTGGTTTCAGGGACGACCGGAGTAGGCTAGATCGGATCGGGGGAGAAGGGGGAGGAGAAACTTGGAGAAGGGGATGAGCATAGGAGAGAGGTAGGTGAGGGAATCAGTTTACTTCATCAACCATGCCGATACACACCCATCTCCAGGGCTTAAGTACACACGCAACGCCTACTGGCCCCTAGCCCCTTCTGTGCTTACAGGTGGACCCACGCACGCTTACACTTGGTCATGCCAACCATGCCAACTGGCAGTCACACGGTGGTGTGCACTACCGCTGTGACGCAACAACAAACTTCTAGTAAATCGAAACTCCTATGGCCGAGCGGGTGGAAGGCCTATCCATAAAATATGCCGTCATCCCTGGTTCTAGCTCCAAACACATACAGACCACCACCGTAAACAGCGATCATTGTTCTGAACGTTGTAGAGTAGACCACACATGAAATCAGTGTGTACGCAGGTAGATAATCTGCATTGGAGGTGAAATTTCACCATTGAAAAACCATGTTATTTTCCGCATTGCCATAACGAGCATAATAAGGTAGACGCTCACCCTCTTATAAGGGCATCTCCCACGCCGACCCTGAAACCGCCGGCATCTGTCCGGACCCAGCTGACCAGGCGCTGCAAGCCATACAACGGTTTTCCGCATTTGTCCGTGGACTAGACCCGGTGTCCGTTTTCCTGAAAACATGAAGCAAACCAGGGGGCTTTGCAGGAGTCCAGACACCAGCCACGTTAGACTGCAACACCCCTGGCACACCCAATACTGAGGTGAAGCCCATGCATTCGGAGCTGGCCTTACTGTTTTTGCGGCAACCCCCCGTCTCAACTCTCTCTTATACTACCCCCACCCCCTCTAGCTCTCCACCCCAATTCCTGCCCCTTTTCATTGTCGCATGGACCTATACAAAAAGCTGCCGAAAATGACGGTGGTGGAGGATCCGAAGAAGGTGGCCGCCAGAAAGATCAACTAGGCGGCACGGCAATCCAACCGCCTCAAACAAAAGGCAAAGGAGGCGACGTCGCTGAAAAAGAAGGGTTGTGGGTGTGGCAGCAAACGTGTAGGCGGCGGGGAGGGCATGGGACCCAAGCACTGCGCTCGAGAATCACCGCCTCGATGGCGTCCACCTCGAAGAGGGGGAGGGGGTGATAGTCCTCCGGCCCGACGATGCTGGCGCACGGCTGCTCCGTCTCGGGCTCCCTCTTCACCACACGGAGCGGCGGGAGTTCCTCCGCCTCCCTCTTGACATGCGGCAGCGGCGTGCGCGAGTCGCTCGCGCTGGAGAGCCGAGCTTGCCGCCGCTCGTACTCCTCTGTCTCACGACGGAGGAGGGACGCCGGCAGCTCAAGGCCGCGGTTGGTGTACCGGCGGGCGGAGCACTTCCGCGCC